CGGTTTAGCTAACATAGTTCTAAGATTCCAAGAAGAAATGGTAATTATTTAGTAAGGACGGGACTTCGGAAAGTACAGTTAGCTTGTTCTTTTAGTATTTTTATTAACCTCATGGCATTCTGTTTCGAATGCAAATTTCGATCACAATCGTAACTTGTATTTGCCTCAATAAATTAATGTCGAAAACATTTCAATGAGCCAACCAAACTAGTTCTTGTCCGGCTGTATAGAAATTTCAAAGTAATTAGGAATGGCAATAATTATTGCGACATCAAGGATTAATGATTGTTTCCGCATCCGCTTAGAATGCGTAGATAGTACACTTGAATGTCGATTGACTGAATAGAGCGAAATTGTCGGACGATTTTTGTGTCATGATGTAGCTGCTTGTCGTTTAAAACGAGTTGATATTCTGAGAGATGATCATCTAAGTGAAACTAATATCCCGTTTTGTCGTGTACGGACTTGTCCCCACCACGTAAACAGTGAACATTCCACACCACATAAACAGTTAACATTCAATTTGGCCCACGCAGTTTAATGGTCAGTTTATTACTATTAAATTTCATTTACTTTAATTTGTTTAAGAACTTTTGAGTTATTCAAAGATATCTACTGTCGATAAATTAAAGAGTCATTTTTGCTCATTAATTCGGTTTAACAAAGATAGTTCTAAGATTCCAAGAAAAAATGCTAATTATTTAATTAAGACGGAACTTCGGAAAGTACGGTTAGCTTTTTCGTTTAGTATTTTTATTAATCTCATGGCATTCTGTTTCTAGCTTAAAAGACTTGACATTCGCTCAATTACGGGTTGAAAACAATATGAGAGTTTGATCGCCGTTTGAGAGTATGGTAATATTAAATTGCCTGAGGGACGTAAATTAATAGCGCAGTTGTGGTCACAGAACGACAGTTAGTAAACTATGACGGCCACAGCAACAAGTTGCTTTTTATGTTTCTAGTTAGACTCAATGGGATGAAGAACACGACACACACAAGGAAAGAAAAGGCTCAGAACGAATACTTTAAACTTTGTACACTTCTTAGCCGCCATCACATAGTCACCAGAATTTGCAGTGACCAGTTGAAATAATCGAAACCCTTTTCGAAATCGTGGGGATAAGAAAATTTACTAAACACACGACGAAAGACTAAAACTCAGAAGGCCCGCAATGAAATCTAACTATAGTTTAAGCCGTAAGCATGATGCAAGAAGGTTCAGTTCATTTCTAGGCTCAGGATACCGGAGAAGAAAAACAATTTGAAACTTAACGCCCATTTTATGTTACGTCCTTATCCCAGCAGTAATTAAATGGAAAGATCGATACGCCGTGATAACTCTACCAATCGGATCTGCAGGATCTGTAAATATATTAAAGGTGAAAGAAAGGACTGCGATGTATTAACCAACAATCTGCACTGCATTTTCAACCTCTAAGTCAGCGATACTAGCTAAGTTCATTGAAAACAAGGTAAGAAAAGATTTCACTGTGAAGGAGACATAAGGTTTCCGAGAGGTATTACTAGGTCCGTTTGGCATTTAAATGCTCGGTGTGCCTCTGTTCGACTCAGCGAATTTCCAACACAATCGTAACTTGTATTTGCCTTAAGAGTGAGATAACCGAACCGTCTGGGGTTAATGTCAAAAATATTTTAATCAGCCAACTAAACTAGTTCTAGTCGGCTGTAAAGGAACTTCAAAGTTATTAGAAATGGCAATATCTGTTGCGACACCAAAGATTAATTATTATTTCCGCATTCGCTCAAAATCCGTGGATATTACACTTGCATGTCGAATAGCCGAATAGGGTGAGGTCTTTGGACGACTTCTGTGTCACGATGTAGCTGCTTGTCGTTTAAATCGAGTTAACATTCGGCATTTTAAGAGATGATCATCAAAGGGAAACTAATATGCCGGTTATCGTGTACAGACCTGTCCACACCACATAAACGGGTAGCATTCCACACCACATAAACAATTAACATTTAATTCGGCCTATGCAATTCAATCGTCAGTTTATTACCATTAAATTTCATTTACGCTTGTTTAAGAACTTTTGAGGTATTCGAACATTTGTACTGTCGATCAATTATAGAGTTACTTTNTTCTTCTATTCGCTCCGACGAAGGGCTAACGCTCGAAACGTCAGCTTTTGTAATCGTTACGGTGGCTAATTTACCATTTCAACTTTGTTGATATATCCAAATTATTAAATTCTTAACGTTTTACACAATCTGCATAGTACACTGCAAGGTAAATATGGATAGCGCGTTGCAAATAAAAGGCTTAGTTATGAATTATTCACTCTCTATAGTCAGCCAAAGGTCTTGCTGGTCTCTGATCAGATTCAGCAATTAACGAGTTTAGTGAACTTTGGTTACATAAGAAAATAGAAGGAGGTGAAGAATTAGATCAGAAATTGAATCCAACCACAACAATTAGTTTTTACCACATTTTATTTGATGTGGAAACAGAAGAGAGAGGTTGTGGAGTCAAAGAAAGGGAAAAGTAAACACAACTCAATTTAAAGCTTGTTAAAAAGTTGATATTTTCCTTTCTCTATCCATCAATATTGGGGGTGGCAAGGCAAGGATGAAACAGAGCAAGGGATAATGAAACACCATTCATTAATAGTTGCTAACAATACATGTATACTGGAAAATGACTCTGTGTATAATGTTTATTTAATTTGGTAACATGTTACATCATCCTCTGTTGTCAACTTTTAAACTGATTTGAAGGATGCTTTATTTATAATTGCTCTGTGTACATGTCCTCTTAGGTACTTCACCCATTCTCTGCGAGATTTAATTCATTTTCCATTGCAAAATTTTGCATTGATTTACGTACAGGAATCTGTAGAAGTTTGTCTCTTCTCCCCCCTACGGTACCACATTTCGTCAATCGCAAAACAGAATGCCAAAAAATCAAAGAATACCTTTCTCCATGGAACAAATGCAGGATCCTTCTCCTACATGGTGCTGTTGGCATGGGGAAAACAACCGTGGCGGTGAAAGTGGCAAACGACATACTGGATTCTGACGGACGTACCGTGGTGATCTACGTTAACTGTAGAGATATTAAACGATTCGATGATTTTGCGGCGAAAATTCTTCAGCAAGTATATCACACTCCTGTGGATGATCCAGCAGCTGAGCTGAAAAATCGCTTGAAAAGCCAAGATTCCTATACGATTTTGTTCCTAGATAACTTTGAACGTCTGCCTCATTCGGATGACCCGGAGATTAAGAACGAAATCAATGAAATTTTAAAGGTTGCAAGAAAAGTCAAGCTTCTCCTCACCTCTTCAGATAAAGTTCCTTTTCCGGAAGTAGGGCAAGAAATGGTTCGTCTGACGTCTTTTGAGCCTCAAGAATCCGTTGAGCTTTTGAAAAGAGTGTGGAAAGATGGGCAAGTCGATACAACCCAAGTGAATGACTTTTTAGAGATTTGCAGCGGTATTCCCTTGGTCCTTTTCACCCTGGCCTCCTCCCACAGTAACCTTCCAAGTCTCTTGGAAAAGATGAAGTGCTCTTTGCCTCAAGAAAAATTCAAATTCTTGGAAAAGATTCAAACGGTACCAGTGGATAAAAAGATCCCACGTTGTATTGATCATTGCTTTGGGAGGCTTGACTGGAAAGAAAAGTGTGCCCTTATCATCTTTGCACTATTCAGAGGGCGTTTTTCTCTACCTGAAGCAAAGAAAATGTTTCAATCAACGACGATGATGACTGCGTCTGAGCTCGTAGAATGTGGATTGGAACTGTCCCGGCGATCACTTTTAGAGGAACATATCACCAGAGATGGTTGCTACTATACCCTACTTGAAGTAATCCGTGATTATTGTAAAATTAAGGCAAAGGAACCCGAGTTTCTTGAAGTGATCCTAGATGCTCGGAGGATGTTCATCCGCCATTTTTTGACCTTTCTGGAAGACACCTTCAAAAAGTTCCTGAGCCAGGACGTGTCAAAAGCGATTGCTGCCTTTCAGATGGATGAAGAGAATGTCTTACAGCTCGTTGAATGGTGTAGCAAAGGTGAAATGGATGAAGAACAAACAAGGAGATGCATTGATGTCTTCAACAGCGTGGCGGAGCTACTGGCAAAGATGATGGGAAAGGCTAAATTTAAAGAAGCCTTTGAATCTTTACGAAGAAAATGCAAAGAGATGAAAGATGAGAAAGATGAGAAAGATGAGAAGAGACTGAGCGATTGCCTCACATCCTTAGGAATCGAAGAAGTATTCAGAAGTTCCTGTCATCCAACTGGTCTGCGTGCTTCAGCCGTTAAAAAAGCCAAAGAATATTTGACGGAAGCTGACCAAATCCAGCGTAATCGTGGAATTAACCACGGTAACAGCCGAGCTCAGTGTCTTTCGAAACTTGCTCGATGTCTCGCCAAAGAAGGCAACTTCGATGAGGCGAAAAAAAAAGTCCAACAGGCGATCAAAATTCGATCGGATCAAGGAGAGGATGACAAAGTCATGCTTGGTGCAACGTACAATGATCAGGCAGGTAAGCGCAGCCTCCAAATCTTTCGTTCTGACTCAGAAATCCCTTCAGTCAAGCTTTAAATGAAAAGCGTTCCTTAAATACACCAGTCTTCGACAGGATGTTTAGAACACTGAGGGAGAGGGTAGACTTCGAGACATATCAGTAAATGTAATCCTCTTGTTTGTAATCAACTACCATATAAAATAAATCCTTCACATGAATTCTAATGTATACAGCTTTGAAGAGATTTAGGCGCTTCAATACTATTTCGAAATACTTTTTTCAAAACATCTATGATCTATCTTGCAGCCTGTCTTGATTATCTTCATAGCGGCCAGAAAGGACTGCTGGAATTATTGTTTCTTTTTATCCCTTGAATGTTCAGCGTTCTCCACAAATACAGTACTAAAACTGTGATTCGTCTTTCTTAGTAATCCTTTCACTCGAAAAAGAACATCGGCAGGCAATAGAGGTCCGAGAGAAGCAGACCCTGCCAATTTACAAGACAAGATTGGGAGACCATCCTTTCCGCGCAACCATCCTCAACAGTCTATCAAACAATTATCACGCCCTAGGCGAGTACGACAATGCCAAAAAATATGCGAAACAGGCATTGGATATCCGGAAGGAACTACTGAAGGATCATCGTGACACCGCCAAGTCACTTTTTGACCTTGGAAAGGCTCATAAAATGACGGAAGAATTTGAGCAAGCTAGGTATTACCTTAAGGAGTGCGAGGCCATGCAAAAGAAAATATTGGATGAGAGCAATGACGACCTTACAAGGTAAACAATTTTGCTGTCATGGATGCTTTGCCGTTTTGTAAAAAAGGCTGAAGTTTCTAAAGAAACTATTGTGCTGCGTCGGTGGGGGTAACAGGCTAATTTTGGTTAGTCCATCGTCAGAGCGAATGAAGAAGGGCTAACGCTCGAAATCTCAGCTTTTTAACTCGTTACGGTGGCCAATTTACAATTCAACTTAGTTGATTTAACCAAATTAAATTTAAAAGCTCTAGAGGATTAGACACGTGCGTCATGTGAGTCCTCACCCAGTGCAACTTTCCTTTCCGTTCATTCAATACTTCATCATTGGGTGTAGTAAAAGATATGTTCCTAAACAGTAGCTACCCACTTAATAAAAAAAACTTGATCACACTCAGTGAAAACAGTAAGCCTTGTTATGTCTCGAAGCCACTTGTACCTTTTTACCTTGAACTCACCCCGTTTTTCAAGAAATCCTCCTCCAACTCCTCTAGCTTGATAGTTTCCCGAATTTTCGGTTAATTTGTTTTATTTGCTTTGCGTCCTACAGTACCAGAAAGGAATTGGAAGATGTGAAGAGGCGACTAGCGGAAGCCGAGGGACAAAGTAACGGGTCGTCATAAATTTTGTCCCCCATAGAGGACTCTTAAGGTCTCTTAAATCCTATATCATACTCTGACATATTTCCAGTTTTTTGTGTTCAAGTGGAATAGGGCGGTACTCCTTTAACGAATCAAAAGCTTATGCGTGGGGTCTCCGCTTTAGGAATCGTCTAAATAAAAACGTAGGGTAATTATGGGACATTTTTTTTTGTCACTTTTATCTTTGAGTCTGTTATGCCGGGTTATGCCTGTGATCAGTTACAGAGCATGCAGTCATTAATTGCATCAGAACTGACTACAAGAACTGAACATCTGAATGATGGTTATGTTAGTATAATCATAATGAACGTCCGAGGTCAAGTTTTACCTGCTTTACTGGACAGTTCTAGTTTCTTCTTAATCGTGTAAATAGATGTGGTTTAAAGTAGGTTCCGTTGTTCTGGACAAGTTGTCTGGCTATTTCCAGAGATCCTGGGAGGGTAGCCCTATCCAAGAAATTCATTGAAAGTTTAAATATGTTGCCCGTGCAAGGTGTGTTTAGCTGATATTAGTAATGACAATGGTAACCGTTCAGTATTGCTGACTTTTATTCAAACTCATTATACTTGGCGTTCAAGTAGTTTTAGTGTATTAAGAAGTCCTAAACAACATCTGTACCTGATGAAGCTGACAGCTTTCCAATTCGCATTTACTTTTAAATACTTTAAATAATTGAAAGTAATCCAATCAGGGTCAGTAAAACGCTTCAACCCGACAAGATTTTGATAATTAAGTACATATTGGTCCACATAATATGGGCTCTATTTTCAGTGTCATTGAAAATGGTGACTAATTCATATTGAAAATTGATAATTTTTTTTTAATTGGTTCTCTCTTGTATGGTATTTTACAATAACTACTTTTACGGTGGAAAATGTAGCTGCATGTTTTGAGCTAAGACTTTAGAAGAGAGATTATTGATATGACTGCTCTCTCAATTTTTTTGTCTGGCAACCATTATGAGAAATAAAGGAAATCAATTTCGTGTTTTGTAGTTACGGCGTTTTTTTTTTTCATGGAAAGGAGGAAAGGAGGAAAAAGCATGTTCTTTAGGTGAAAAAACCCTAAAGTCCTTGACTCCTTGTATATCCCCTGTGAATAGCATAAAATTGAGGTTATACTTTCATGAGGCTTGGTTCGACAGTCTCTACTACTCATACGAATATCTGAAAGGCTTTATTGAAAGGGTTTATATGATATCGTTGATACAAAACACCACTACACGGGGTTCATTATCTCTATTTTCAGTACTTTTTCCCTTGAAATTGGGAAAGGAAAAAGACCAGGGAATGTCAGTATAGGGTTCCAATTTTGGCTCCTCCTTGGTATAGAGGACACAGAACACGTCACATTTGACCACCACCTCTTCACCCTCCCGTCTTTCATTGTTTTCCTTGTTCTTTTGTGTTTTTGTTCTCCATTGTTTTACGTCAACTGGGTCCTCTACACCAAGTAAAAGCCCCAGCGTTGTTCCTGATGCATGTACTAATTTGCAATTTTATTGAATCTTATTCTTTCCAAAAAAAAAAACTACATCCTATATTTTAAACTGGTTATATGTACCGTCGCAAATACAGGAGAAAAAGAAAACACATGAAAACATGTTTCTCGACGAAGTAGATGGAAAAATTAAACAATCAATACAGATTTTCAGACCCGGAGACTGAGTTCGTTCTGTGAAATCCGATATAGAGAGTTCGTATGCGGAATGTTTTTCAAATTTACGACCGTTCATGGCGCCTTAATCTCCCTCGATGCATTGCACCTGCTCATCGTCCCCGTCATCCACGGGGGGGGGGGGGGGTTTGGTGCCGAATTTTCAGTAAGGAAGGTTCACAGCAACGGGAAGTTAGGTTTGAATTGGTGGGATTGCTTCCATGCAATCACAGAACATTACTTTAACTCTGCTTACTTTGAAGCATTAATTTTGTAGAATAGCAAATGTGCTAACTTACCAGATAACATAAAGAGCAAATCAAGGAGGTGGGCGCTAAGTGCTTTCCTCGGTAGTTCTTGCGCGCACTGATTTCGTTCCTTTCCAAGTTAAACACAGCGGCAATATCATGATCAACGCCTACGAAACCCGTCAGACTTGTTACATACGGTTGACCATTAGTGTAAAATAAACTTATACGGATCTCCAATAAGGTCAGAAATAGAATCAGGTTAGAGTTACAAGTTACACTGAAATGTTTTTATTTGAATTCGTCACATTTGCAGCATGTTCGCTGCCTAAAGACGTTTTAAGTTTACTTGCGTTTTGGCCCACCATTATGACTTTGTGCGTCATCCTTTTTCTTCTTTGAGCATGCATTCCTCCACTTCTTTTATAATTCTGTTTAAAACGATCGTTCAAGATAGAGATAGATTATCAGATTGTGTATATACTTCTAGTATCAAAAGGTCGAAACAACAGAAAGCAAATCGTTGTCTTCAAGAAGAGTACGACATTTTTTAATTTCGAAGACATGTTTCGATGTTACGAACATCATCGTCAGCTACAGAATATTTGAAAACCGTTAGGACTATATAACAACTAGGCGAAACATGCATAATTAATTATGATTAAGTGACAAAAATTACATATTTGAGTGAGTAACAAAGTGTTGGAAAGGATATAAAGCCTAAAGCGTAAGCGTCATGTTGACGCCTGAACTTGTTGAACGCTTTTCATTCAACTACTTTATTCTTGTTTTTCTCGTTACCATGTTCCCAACTATAGCATAGCTCCATTTGCTACATAAAAGCACACACACAACCCACAACTCCTCCGTTCGCTGTGACGAAGGCTAACACTCGAAAGGTCAGCTTTGAGATTCTTTAAGTTGGCCAATTCACATTAGCAATTCAGTTAATAAAACCAAAACAGCCAATCAGAACACTTGATTCGCTTCATATCGCCCACCAGTGCTGCCAGCTATTTAATAAGATTCCTTATTATATTGCTACCAGTGCTCGTGGGCCACATGAAGGGAATTCTGTGTTCTGATTGGATACCTGAGTGGGGAGA